TAACATGGGGGAGTGGTGGAGGCATGGATGGATGGATGGATCGGATGGATGGATGGATGTCGATGTATGTATGTATGTATGTATGTATGTATGTATGTATGTATGTATGTAATGTATGTATGTATGTATGCATGCATGCATGCATGCATGCATGCATGCATGCATGTATGTATGTATGTATGTATGTATGTACCCCGCACACCACGTCACATGGCCAACGAACCAAGACCGGACACGCACACTCCAAACCGCATGTGAGCAACCAGGCAACTGCCCCGAAAAGGCCGGGAATATCCTCAAAGTGTCTGAACCCCAACCCCTAAACCCCTGCCGCAGGACCTCTCTCCCGGCCCGTGACCTTTTGCTTGCGTTTGGAGCTAGTCTAGTCTGCGCGGGTCCATATTGGATGTTTCGTTTGTGTGCATAATAGCGCAGGTGGAGAGAGGCTTGACATAGTCTACCGGTCCTTAAGCCCTAAGCCCTAAACCCTGGCTAGCGCACTTAAAGAAAAACAATAAACCCTAAACCCCAAGCCCAGTCTACCGGTCCTTAAACCCTAAACCCAGTCTACCGGTCCGTATGTCCGTCCAGGACCCGCAGAAGCCCCAAGCCTACGCCGCCCTGGCGGCCGCCGGTGCCTTTGTCTCGGCCATATGCGGCCAGGCCCGGGACTGATCCGAAGTTTTTTTTGCTATATATATATATATATTTATTTAGTTGTTTTCTATATATATAAATATATATGTATGTATGTATATGTATATATATATATACACATTTTTATATGTCTAACACCTATATTTCTATCGACATCTAAACCGCTGTCTATATCTATATCTATGTCTATGTCTATGTATATCTATATCTATATCTACGTGTGTATATGCATGTATACATACTTATGTTTTATCTATGTGCGTGTTTACGCACACGCACACACACACACACATATATATATATATATATATCTGTGTGTGTGTGTGTGTGTCTGCGTTGTACTCAGTTCAAAATGTGTTTTGCATACATACACGTGTGCGTATATATATATATGTATATATAGGTATTATACATACAAATTTCTATATATATATATATATACATATGTGTTTTTGGTACGGGTCAGAGTTCATACCGGTCATACCGGGGTTATCGGAATTCAGAAGCTTCGGGTTGGGGATTTAGAAGGTTCAGGTTTCTTTGCGTTTTTTCTGGGGCTCCTGATACAGAACCCTAAACCCTAAACCCTAAACCCTAAACCCTAAACCGTGGATGTGAGATTTTCCGGAGGCCCCCGGGTCCCTCCGTAGTGCCCAGCAAGGTAGTGTAGAGGAATTGGGTCGGGCTGACGGACCCGGCTCAAAAAACGAATGAAAGTCGTAGGACCGTGTAGGATTGATGGGTCAGGGATCTAATGACAAAGTAGGAACCTGATGAACATAAATACCGTGGTTTTACTTGTTTAGAAGTCTATGACCTGAAGAGCCAGCTTTAGCAACAACAGCTTGCCACTGTTTGAACACTTGACACAGCAGGGTAGATAAGGTCGGGTGAACCGTAGCAGTACTTGTCCAAGGGTTTCACAAAGCTAAGTAGGCCTCCTGTGGTCTCCTACATTTGCCTGGGGGCTTTATTTGACGGAAGGTTGCGCCAGATATAGCAGCCGGGTGATGCCAGACGACTTGTAGATAGGACATCGATGTTTTTTGTGCACCAAGGCAAGTTGGCCCTGTTTTGGAGCACCGCAGTGTATGACAAACTTTAGGGTGGAGAAGTCAAAGCTTCATGCTGACTTGCACTCCACCTTGCCTTCTCTCATGAAGCGAGGGCTGCTTGCCTGGCAGGTGTCAGAGTCTCACCTGATCTCACCGACATTGCCATTAAGAGCATAAGGTTGTAGCTAGCTCCAGTCACACAGGCACGAGACAAACAGAGCCCGTAAAGAAAATGAGAGCAAGAACGTGCATCCTACCCATCCATCAATGTGTTGCAGCTGTGCTTATCCCACGTGTTTGCTACGATCATTCCTGCGCTTGTTTCGTGCTTGCTGCTATCTGTATACACATGCCCATATGCGGACACGAGTGCATACGTAGCGTGGCCAGCTGAAATCATGCTATGACCAACATCCCTAAACCTTAAACCCTAAACCCTAAACCCTCTTAAACTTAAAGCCTAAACCCCAAACCATAAACCCTAAGCCCTACATCCCCAAGCCAAGACCTTCCGAAGCTTCTCTTGGCTCCATAAGAAAATAAACTTACTATGTAGGGTTTAGGGTTTTGGGATTTTGGGGTTTAGGGTTTAGGGTTAAATTTACTTTATAATATGAGGCTAGGAGAACAAGGGTGGCCCTGCTCTCTTGGAATATTTCGTGCGCTGTGACCTGCACTTCGGACTCTAAGCAACAGTGGGGCTGCATACTTAGGCGGTTTAGGGTTTAGGGTTGCAGACTTGAAGGTTTGCTCTAAGCCCTCGTTAGGTTCCCAGCAGAGGCTCTTGCAGGCTGGATGCAAAAAAGGGTTTAGGTCGGATGCTCTGTGCCAAAGTTGGTTACAGACTCCGGCTTTTGTTCTATTATCTGCCTCCCATGACGCTTAAACCTTGAATCTTTGTTAGTAAGCCCTAAACCCGAATCCTTAAACCCTATAAGCCTAGATTGTCCGAGTTGTGAGAGCCGAAACCCTGTATGCGGAGCATTTCTTTCACCCTCCTGCTCGACGCGGTCGCTTTCCCTCAGTGGACGGGCGCAGAGCCGGAGCAAGTCGATGAAACAAAAGAGTGCCACGGGTTTAGGGTTTAGGGTCTCTCGCTACTTTGGGGCTTAGAAGCTTTGTAGAGTGTAGACCCCCAAGTACTATAGGGGCCTAAACCTAAAGAATGAATTTCCCTATAAAATTTTGGGGGCTCCTTACTTTAATTATAGTATAATGGGCCCCAAAACCCTATTCTAATTCTTAAGGCCCCTATATTAGGTGCTCTATTTGCAGTCATTTGCAGTCAAGGAGCCTCACGCAGGAGGCTGGAAGAATCTGGACTGACCCCCCGTCCCTGGGCCGGAACACTATAAATCGCAACCCGAAAGCAGCCCTATCCTAAAGCCTTCAATTCTACGCAACTCTGGACCTTTACCCATAGGCTCCACAGTAGTTCCTTTATGTGGCTTATATTTAGGATCCTGTAAGGGAACTGCCATGGAGCCTCTGGGTAAGCCCGAGTAGTTCCGGAGCCTAGCACCCTAAAGCCCAAACGCAGCACCCAGCAGACCGAAGTGGCTTAGCTGGCAACCCAGGAGCAAAAGAGGCCAAAGACTTTGTGTCCGCATAGCATCAGGGCCTTGAATAATTACCTATGCTATTTTTGGGGGTGTTCATTTTAGAAGTATAGTATACTATTCCCCAAAACCCTATTCTAAGTATTAAGGCCCCTATATTAAGCCCAAAAGCCCGTAGTCCAACATCCTATGCCGTAATTCCCAGTCTCCGAAAAAAGGGGACCCTAAATAATAGGATCCTTATTTCTGAAGGACCCAAAATAAGGCACCCCTTGTTTTCGGAAACTCCCAACTCCTGAAACCCCGAGTTTTGTTTGACGACGGGCTTTGGTGTAATCGGTTCGGGATCGGATTAGTTGTTTCAATTCTCGTCCTCTTGATTTCCTCACCACAGCTGCGCAACGTTACACACCTCAAGGCAGGCAAGCAAGAAGCCCTGAAGCCAACACATCCGAAGCCCAGAAGCGTGCAATCCTAAGAAGTTGAACCCTAAACCCTAAACCCTGCACAAACCGAGTGTCAAAACCCTAAACCCTGCCTCGGAGATGGAACTTGAGGAGCTTGTGTCATCGATTCTGCAGAGCCCTCCGCAATCAAAGTCTTGGAATCCAAAGGTCTATGTTGAATGTACGATCCATGTCACAAGGACGGTTTAGGGTTTAGGGTTTCGGACAG